TGTATTCATCCATACCTTGTTTCTGTACTTTTTGGCATTGCTATTCCTATATCTTCCTTATTATTTTCAAAAAAAAAAAATATTACTTGTGGATAAAACAGCTATATGAATAAAATGTGACTCATACATTCAAATTAAAATAATAATAAAAACAATTAATAGTACTTTGAAGGTTGAAAGAGCATCAGTAAGACAACACAACAATCGCAAGAACATTATAAGAACAAAACATTTAACATTATGTGTGAATAATCTAGAAGAATTGCATTCAATATTTTCCTGAAAAATCTGTAATAAATGTAGGCTGTACCATTTGACTTTTTAACCATTTAATAAAACTTGTAAAACACTTTGATTTGTTCAACAAATTCCATTTTTTCTGGTACTTCTTATGAATAGATTAACCTTGCTTTTAAACATTCAAACATGTTTATGAATAATTTAGGCAAAATCTTGCATAATATCAAATACTAAGTCAAGTACAATATTTACTTAAAAAAATAATACTTTCAATTAATCCATCTTATTGATTACATTTTAATGTTTAGGTATCAAAGCTGTCAGTTAAACCGCATATCACTTATTATATCTAACGCTACCTTAAAAAAACACTACTTGTTTTATGTACCACAAAGTCTAATGTAACTCATTGTAGTAATGCTGACACAAGTCAAATTATTAGCAATTCTAATACATGACAAGAAACCTTGTGTATAGATGTAGAAGTGCTTAGATATGAGTCTGATCTAAAACAAAGCATGACACTACATAGTGTAGTTACAGTCAAAAATACACAAGACAAACATCAAAAAGACAAAGTATCACCACATAACAACAGTACTTATTACATAATATTTCACTCCCCACATTTTTAATATCAATTAGAACATTAATTACTAAAAACTAGAGAATAAAAAAAAACAAAATTAACAAACAATGGAAAGATTTTATGAAAGATGTTTCCTAATCACTAAAAATCAGTAAACTCAGTACGTTAATCTACACAATATTTACTAAAGAACAACAAAACCATTCTTGAAAAATGTTATTGTAATAAAAGAAAATCTTACTACATAGCTTTGAAATATTCAACTAAGAAAAGTGTAACAATAATTTCAATGACTACAAAAAAATAAAGCATTCAATAAAACTTATGGTAGTAAGTGCCAAATTTATATTTAAATCAACTAGTTTTCAGGTCACTTTGGTGCATACACGTGATAAAAACTGATCTTTAGAAAAATTATAAACACTTTATCCTGAGCTATTAAAGTGACATTCATTAGGATATATTTTTTGTTGTGGTTTCTGATATAAATAAGGTGACCAGGTATTCTACAACCAAAATAAGCATCTGTTTGTCCAGTAAACAGATCATGTACCAATATAAATACTATTCATACAATGTAAGATAATATATTCAAGTACTTATAAGGAATTTTGTATTTGTTTTTAAACAAGACTTTGATGAAATTTTCATACTAATTTAACATATAAAAGATCCTAACCTAGGCTATGAAGGACAAAAATGTTTCTATCTAATTATTTACAAACACAAATCTAATCATGTGTTATGTAATTTACAGGAGCATATGACAAGAACAACAAACATGCCTCTTTTCATCAGGATTGTGATCTTTAAGCCATGTAAGAAGTGAACCTTTCTTGAAAGCAGAAGTAGCTGAAGATCCCTTTTCTTTTTGAATGTTGGCAATTGTTTCAGCATTTAAAACTACTTCAATTAAACCTACTTTATAATCTGTTGAGATGCACTGATAAGGTATCATCCTGAAAATAGAAAATCAGGCAAAGAAAATTTTAGATTTTTCTATTCAAGTATTTACTATAAGTTATTATAACTTGCACATCAAAATCTAAAAATCGTATGGATAACTACCGAGTTTGAAATAATTATGTTTTTAGTATATTAAAGCACATTGATAAATGCACACTGTGGTATAAATTATCACAGGTAGTCAGATGATATTGTTTTAAAGAAATAATCTACAAAAACCTATATTTCAATAAATTATCTTAATTTTGAAGTTCAACAAATTTGAAGATGAACTCAAGCCATTGAAAAAAGGTATATTTGAATCCACTTATTGATCAGATGAAACTTTGAAAAATTTCCACAGAAAAATTTTACAAGCTTGAATTGAAATGTCCTCTCTTAAGAAACAAAAAAGTTTCTTTTAACTAAAGCGCTTCAATAAACATTTTTCTTCTATTTTTTTTCATATCATTTTTGAGGAGTCTAGATCCATGATGAAGTGTACGAGTATTGGAAATAGTGAAATAAACATTTGTTTATATTAGAGTATTTGTCTGCTTATTATTCATGTCAGCTGATACAGAAATAAAGTCTGGTTCACGAAGTTAACCACAAAACAAAATATTTTAACATTAGCGAGAGTAGTGAAAGTAGTGGTTAAGTTAAAAAAACAGAAATTGAACTTAGGGATGTGAGAGTAGTCTGAAAAGCATCTTTTTGGAAACCTAAAAAAAGTTAATGATGTTACTATTAGATGAAGAAATGGAGCAGCTGTAATCAGAGATGAGAAAAAAATATTATGTTATGAGTGAAATAAACTGATACACTGAAAAATTAAAGCTTATAAACTTGTTTCATGCTACAGAAGAAAAGAAGACAAAAGGTTAAATGATCTGAGATAAAGTTAAATACACAGAGCATGATTGTAAAACTTTATTAATTCTAAACTTGGTTTGATACCATTCAGTACTGGTACAATATACATATTGCAGCTTAATAAGGAATTTAGTTTTTTGCCTGTTACAGCACTCACTGTAAAAAACTAACCAAAATATTTGGGTGAAATCATTCATTTTCTATACAACTTAGCAGAATTATTTTCAATATCGGGTACTTTATGTTACATTTTTTTGTGTGACTCCTAATATTATGGATCTTGTAACCATCAAACTCCTGGTCTCATAAGTGATATAATACATTAATAGTTTGCAAACATTTGTTTAAATAGCCAATGATTTCAGTAATTTTCAGGTTCAATATAAAAAATGTTAATATATATAAAAAATTTAGCCAACTTATATGTTGTGGTTAGTGAATATTAGAAACTTAATGATATCGAATTTAAAGGTTTTTTTAAAATACAAAATCAAAATTTTAAAGTAAAGAACAATGTGAGAGTAATTGATTGGGGAAACTTTTAATAAAGAAAAGATAAGGAGAATTTATAATTTTTTAAAGCTTTCAGTGCTGACTGAAGGATGAAAACGATTTTCAATGAAGACAAGAAACAACTTCATTTATGTGAAGTTGTTTGTCATTTTTAATGGGAATTTAATTTTGGGATGTTAAAGAATATTAAGCTATTTTAGACACCATAAAAGAACAGTTAAAGGAGCATAGACTTGAGCCGATAACCAAAGAAAGGCAATAACTATCGGACTACCCAAGTGGTGTGTAATTCTAAAAGATTGAATGGAGTAAGGTAATTAATGATGTTTATGTTTTAAACAATGATAATTAGGTCTTTATGTACAAGTTTCAAAGTAAACGACTTCCATCTTAGTGGTAATTCTATCAAACATAAGGAACAATTACAGAAAGGGTTCAGTTACTAGTTATGATAATTAACTGATAATGTTGGAAATTATCAATTTATTTTTACTGTTCCTATACTTTTGGAACTGATGTTTTTGAACTTTTGTTTTTACTAAAACAAAATATATGTAACTTACCCAAATTCAACAGAATAACTGCATATTTACTCACCAACACACTTACAATTCACCTTACCTAAAATTAGCAACCTTGAAAATATTAAAAAGCACCATTATCATTAACTACTGTTGACGTTTTTACCTGAAATCTAAACCTTTCTCTTTCCACAATTTGTCCATAATTCGTATCATTTGCAAAGTCAGCATGTCTTGTCTCAAATCTGCAAGATAAAACAAAAGTCAAAAATGCATCAACATTCAGTAAATTTCAGAGATAAATACACTTTTGCATATATAACGTTAAACATAATTTGTGGATCTTGTTGGCTTATCACATTATTTTTACAAGCAAGCAGCATTACGATGTATCTTAAAGTTCAGCAATTCTAGCTTGTTGTAAACTCATCTTTACCAAAACAAAAATTTCAACAAATGAAGTAAAATATAATTCACAATACATCAAGAGAAAAATTAAATATGAAGACTCCAGCATGTAACAATATGTTGCCCTCACAATATTTACTATCTATTAAACAAAAAATTTTATTGTTTTAAATACAGTTATGTTATTACTCAGTCTATTACCTCTGTAAAGGACTATCAAAATAATATTTTAGCAACTTCGTGACACAAAAAAAAATGCTGGTTGTATGTACCATATTGGAGAAAAAGAAAATAAAACCAGTTAAAGAAACTGTTGGTATTAATTAACATATTGATTCCTGTTGTAAACAATGGAACTGTTAATTGGTGATTCAAGTGTTGAAAGCTACTGAGAATAATTAACAGTAAACGTGTTGGTGAATGGCTTGCATTCTTTCATTATAAAAATATCATTTCAATGAAATTTTACAAAAAGCATCTTTTATAGAGCAAAAATTGGAATGACACTGTTCGTGGATTAAATATGAATTTTTTCTTGTATGTTTTCATGCATCAATTTTCAGTTTTTCCTATCATCTTTTAGTATTATATCATAAAATGTCTTATAAAAATTCTTTGTTAAATTATTTTTGTTTCCTTCAGATTGTTCTCCTTAACATAAAGTTGTCATATTTAGTTTTAGTATAATGTTGATAACAAAGTCAATATGGAGATTTGGAACAGTGTAATGTATGGATGAAATATTTATGTGTTTGTACAAGAGTCATGCGAAGTGCAGTCCTGTAGTTACTGGAAATAGCATTAAGGTTAAGGAGTGCCACTATAGCAACTGTTTAATGCTAGCACAGTCCTTTTTTTTTTTAGTATTTCACCCATTCTGATAATCAAATCAAATATTGTGGCTTGTAATATCTCCCTAGGATTTGGTCAAACCTTTCTTGCAGTGCAGTTCTTTCAGTTCACAAAAATAAAGTTATGGCAATAGACCCACATCTTCAGAAATCCCCATACCTAGTGATTAACAGGAGTGAGATCAGGGAAGTATAGTGGTCAAGTATGACAGAAGTGGGTTGTAGAGTTAGGCAATAAGTGGAATTTGATAACTGCTTAATTGTCAGGCTCATTAACCCTATGTACATAGGCACAGTCAGTATAATTGACCTTATAACCACCATGTAATTATATAATTATACATATTATAACTGTGAATGTACTTAATGTATCTTCACAAAATCTGGCAAGATTACAAGAATGATGTGCACAAAAAATCATATTTTTGTATAAAGACATTTAAGAGGGCCTAGAGTTGTGCAAATAAAACATTAAACTATAAGATGAAGTATTTTAGTAAAATTATGTATTTTATCTATTATTTTCTCAACCATAACTTTAAAAGCATAACTAATTCTCAGGTCAATAAAGAAATCATCAACATACAGTTGAAAAATATAAAATAAAATCCTCTGAACTGACTTTAGTATTGATAACAAACAATCTTTATTAATTTCACTAACACAATGTATATGTATTTACTTGTCACAACAGATGGTTGCCTTTACTGGAGAGCTAGATCTCGAGCTCTCTCTCTATCTCTTTAGATTTTTATGGACTTACTCAATTCAGATCTTGTACCAGACTAGATAAGCATCACATTACTTATTTGATTCAGCAACATCGAACTTACCCAGAGCAACAAGTGCTACCCCCATAACTGGTCATAATGGAGAACATCATTTCAAAATATCACTCACTGCCAATGGAAAAGATGTCTGTCTAACTTCACATACTACGTACAACCTTGCAACTACCTTTCTTATCAGAAGACAAAAGGTGTTATCTCAGATGAACAACAGTACAATAGGCAGTTGGAATGAAAGCAACTTAATGACCTTCTTGACAAACATAACACAATTGCATAAATAATAAATTTTTAATAGTTCCCATGTTAGAACAAGAAAGCAGAAAATGTATGATATGCTTGCATACCACATGTGCACTACTGATTTACTAACCCACAATTTCAGTTTGACCAGAAACCTCGTCTGCCAGTTTAGTTAGAATATGCCCCACATCAGATCACAACATGTGAAAAATCAAAAGGTCATGCAATTCATTCCTGTTAAAACTAATAAAGACAGTTTAAAATGCTATCCAAAATCTTGATTGTAATGAAAAATAGCTACGTTTAATTTCTTTTGTGATGAAAAGTTATCGCTCTTACTTTTTACTGGGGTAAGTACATAGTTTTTTAAAAGCAAAGAAGTTTAACTACTATAACCTTTTAATGCCATTTCAGGATAAAGATGATGAAAAGCAGGTCTTGCTTCAATCTTCTACACTATTAATAAGCAACTCATAAGCTTACCATCACCATTCTTGTAGATTATATAGATATCTTGACCACTGATGTCAAAGTTCTCAAACACAAGCCAGAGAGGTTTCATCTTAGAGTCCATGAAACGGCACTTTTCAACTCTAAGACAATAAACTATGAAATTAGTTGAAATTTGTTCTCGTAAGTACCACAATTATCAATGTTATATTTACTACGTAATCCAAGTATTTTTTTTGTAAAGCAAAAATAGAGAAAAACCTGAGCAACAAGAAGATTTGATGGGAACAGTAAAAATATTCATTACTACTTAAACCTACTTTGTCAATGGAGAGCATTATAACTAAAACTGATCAACGACAAAGTCTACATGTAAGATCAGAGTATGACTAAACATTTTTATGGCAAAATGTTTACTTATAAATATGCATATACACCCTTATTAACATAGATCTGTCCATTATGTCTCCAAATATATCTTATGAGAAAAATAAAGTATTTTAAACAACAACTAACAGAATGTATTGTTATTCCAGATGAAAAGAAAGTTTTGGAGAAGTTTTTTTCAGAATTTAAAATACAAACTTTGTTTTGTACAGGAAATAGTTTATAAATTACTGCTTAATTAAAATGCTGACGAAAAAAATGTTTTCACATGCAATTTTTTTTTCTATGTCAAACTCTTCATATAGTTTGAAAAGAAACTGCATAATGATTTCAGAACCTACAAAGGAACATTAATTCAAATTATGAATTATTTACTAAATTTGTGAAGTTTTTGTATATGAGGTGTATAAGACTTTTCTATGCTGAAACAAGTATGTTTGGATTTCTATGCAACACCAATAAATCTCACTTCTAACACTGAACAAATTTTCTGACACTGAACTCGCTGAATACTCATTAACTTTACTAATTGGCTACTTATACTTATAAATAACATACCCATCTTTAGATATTAGATTAAGTTTTTCGATTATTACATCATCATCATTAACAGCTCTCAGTATTAAAAAACTAAATTATAACATTGAAAATGTAGTTTACAAGAATGCTGAAATGATCCAAATTCAACAATGGCACTCGTTGGTGATATTAGGCTTTCAGAACATATTGTTGATATAAATAATTTAGAGAATGACAAAAGAAAATGCTCTTTTTAAAGTAGCAAATTTGAAATAATATAAATAACTTAACAACAGCAAATGAGCTACAATATTTCCTACTTACGTAAGGCACTTAAGATGCTGTTTCAACAAAATTCATTTAAATTATATGTATGATATTTCTGTATAATTGATTTAACTATAATCGAAAAAGAAACTTCGTATCACATTTAATAAATATCGTTGTTTTATTCAACAGATACATTACCATTCCTGACACACTATAAAGTTTAATGATATCATAAAATTCTCAACATTTATTTAGTTTAATGTGAGTTAACATTTCAAGCACTGTATTTATGCAGCAGTACATGAATAAACCTTTGGACTAGTGTGTATATGTCATTTCAAACTAAATTTCATAAACTGTAAATAAAGTTCCGAAATCCATTTAAAAACACATTAATAATGTGCATAATCATGTTTTAGCCTAGAATGTTGCTAGGCAAAGACAGAATTTCGCATACCATAGAAACCTCGAACTCTAAATGTTGAACAAGTTGTAAGACCATAGATTACAAGCGCTACTAAAATATAAGTCTAAACTAAATTTTAGTATAATATTCAGAGCTCCAATAAATAAATACTATAGGAAGTTTGAAGCTAGAAAATATTTTTTGGCTTACATACGAAATCATTAAATACTGTAATACGCATATATAGTAATACAAAATATTCATTTGCAGATGGACAAAAAGTAAACCATAAATGATTACTAGTGGCAACTTAAAGTGCCATATGTAATGAAACATCACAATAAGAACACTCAATCTTAGCCACAATAGCGTTAACTACAAATTATCTGCTGTAAACTGCTGCCAACAGTTTTTTGATCAATACAAGTACTAACTAGGTCAATGGGTTACAAGAAGCTTAAAACAGTGAAAATAAACACACACTCCTTAATGGCATCTAAAAATTATTTCTAGTCATATTTTTTGTACTATAGTCCATTTCTACAATGTTTCCATTTTAATTTCGTATAAGAGAAAAGTTGTTTAGTGCATGTAGTTACATTTTGGTTCAGGAAATAATTACAACAAGGTACAAGATATGCAACTCTAATAAAGAAAAATCATTTAGGACAAAATCCCCAGAGAAAAGTATTTTGCCTCATCATGTCTAAGCCACTAAAATTCCCTTAAATCCATGTTCCTAAAAACTTGAAATACTTAAAAATACAGTCTTGTATTGTACTTTAAAATCACAAGAATAAATACCACCAAAGATGTTACAAACGTATCAAATCCAATCGTTATGAATAACTGTTAAAATATAATGTTTCTTGCTATTTTCATTTATAAGCACAGTCAAATAATGCCATAATGCAAGCTTAAAGATTAATACTAAGTGTGTAGTGTTTATCAGTTTGTGCAAAATGTTCACAGCAAAGTCCAATTAGCAATAATAATACAAACCAAAAACAAAAGTTAGGCTAACCTGTTTTGAATTAATAATTTATTGTAATAACTTAAGAGTTAAAAAAAATTAGGAATCAGATAAAACTAGGCTTCAACATTTAAAATAGTTTTCATTGAAACACAAATTAGAAAACATAAAACTTATAAGTAAAAAAAATACTCAGGATTTAAAATATTTATGAAGTTTCTATATATGAAAAATGTTTGAGATTCTAACTTTAATGCTGGTAAAAAATTTTATTCAGGTTTCAGTTTATTAAAGTACATCAAAGAATCTATGTAGCGTAATAAAACAAGGGAAGAGTTAGCAAAGGCTTTTAAAAGTTATTTTTTCTATTTAAAAACCATAACTTTTCTTTAGTTAGAATGAAATATAAAACAAAGAATTTTGTAAATCTAAGAGTATTTTTGTTATTGCAAAATGAGATGCCTATGGTCATTAAATTTTTCTATAACACACAAATATATATATATATATATTAGATAAAATTATTTATTCTGTACATTAAAATGTTCAGTCTGAATTATTTTAAAATTAAACAACAACATTAAGTCTCCAGCTAGGCTTATTCTATCACCATAAGATATTTCATGGTATGTAGCAGTAGTGATTTATTTGTTCATGACTACAAATCATGCATTAAACTAAGCATAATACCTTAGTTTATGAAGCTTGTAAACTGGATCAAGAGGACAGTGTAGGTTGGTAAAAGCTTCACGATAACTGTTCTGATTTAATGTTTCTTGCATAACACATCTTAGTTTTTCCTTAGCTTCCTAAAACATTGAGAACAAACAATTCACAAAAAAATTATTATATATCAGAATATAAAATAAAATTAACTTAACTGCTTTCACATTGATATCATAACAGGAATAAGTTTCTAAACTATAAGCTATACTGTTTAGTTTATCATAAAACTAATAGATAAAAGCCAATTTTTTGGCCAAAATATCCAGCTCAACTGATTTTGTTATCTCCATTCATAAATTAAATTTCTTTATTCTCCAAACCTCACAGCCCATCTTACTTTATTTTGTGTGTCATAATGATTGCCTGTTTAACTGCATTGTATGTTATAAAATATAGAAAATATAATGAGCTTTTTATTACATTCATTATTTTGTAAAAAAAATGTTTTTCAGAACACCAAAATATTTTTTACCCCAAAACGAGCTTCTAAAATTTGTCAACTTGGGAATAAACAACTAAAAATAACCAATTTTTAAACATTGTAATATCGACATTAATGTTTTACAACAATATACAGCTGAGCTATATGAAAAATATGGTTTGGTAGACCCATCTGACAACCTCTAAACAAAAGCTTTATTGATCGGGTGCCAAAACAAATTTATATAAGACTATTATTTCTGTACTATGTAGTTATTGAACACATACAACCAGAAATTACTATTCTTCTGCTGCTATATATGATACCATACTAACTTGCAAATGTACACACATACACAGTTTAATTCACCTGTATCTCCTACATTCAAAAACAGCTGTAAAGTGAGACTCACTATAAGTACAAAAGCAACACACTGTATTTTTATTCTTTCATATAAAGCTCAAAGGCTTCAACAACTTATTGGTAGTTAAAATACTAAAGTAATATAACTTCTAACCCTAAAATGGAAACAAATTCCAGAAAATAAAAGTTTTAAAGCACTCTTGTTTTTCACACACTACTTTATAGCCTTTAAGGGTTTTCCATTTTCAAAGATAGTCTCTCACAAATGTTTCAACTCTGAAATGCCCACCTTCATTATTTGCAGAAATGAACTATATATAAAATAGATAAACATACACACACAAAGAGGGAGAGTTTTTGTTTGTTAGTTAAACACAAAGCTGTACAATGGGCTATCTGTGCTCTGCTCACCATGGGTATCAAAAACCAACCAGGTTTCTAGCATTGTAAGCCCAGAGGACATACCTGTGTGGGCCCCGGGGGGGGGGATGTTTTAACATTGAATTTTGACTTTTTTCGTAAGATTAGAAGCCATACTATGAAATATGTGCTAAAAATATTAATTATCTACTCACTGGAAAATGGTAGAGGGTTAATTTGTTTAAGTTTTCTGAAACCCAATGAATAAATGTTATAATACAAGTTTTTATTTTTGTTTTTAAAGAAAAGAGGATAGGGTGCGTATATATTTTTTTTTAGATTTAAATTTACATTTATCAAAGAATTCTTTTATCAACAGCATTATCCAGAAAGCTCTATAAACTTTCTGTATTTAGTATATAGTTACTATATGTACAGGAACTAACCTAAATAAAATATTATTCCTTTGAGGATGCTCTCTCACCATTTCAACTTAAGCCTCTGGAGCCATTGACTATTCATTAGATAAGTTTCAGACATTAGATATAGAGAAATATCTATAAATGTAAGAAGCTATTCAATATTGGTAGTAAGCATGACATTTTTTCTGGTAAAGTTATCTTTCAAGAAATAAATTTTTATATTTTCTTACTTATGTGATTTTATCATACAGTATACCATTCACAGCCTAGTTTTTGCCACATATCAATGCAATAAAATACATATTCAAGTTAATGTTTGTAAAGGTCTTCAACTTTTTTTTTTATATACTAACCTTGCGTCTAATACATTCATTAATTGATTTAAGCCTATTCAAAGCTTCCACTTGTTTGATGAGAGAATTAATGTGTTCTACAGCTCCACGACAGTAGGCTTCTAGTAAAAGTCCAAACCGTACCGAGACTGATGGCACATACATCTCAGAACTGCAATACAAAATATATACAACATTGCAGGATATCTTGTAAATAAAAGTAAACAAGCAACATCTATCACTAATCCAAAGACAATTTTCTAGTAAGGAGCAAAAGGCTTAGCATCCTCAAATTTACCAAGAAGTTAAACTGTCTCAACTTAATTTATACCTAACAAAACAGCTTTATTCAATATTCACAACTTGTGACAATATATATATATTAAATTACATCACAAATAAAAGATTTATGTCTGAAAAAAAAATCTAATGTGTTATTATAATTTTCAACTTAATATTTTTCAAGACTACAATTTTAAAACTTTTCTACTGCAATGAAGTTGTAATAATGGTTAATTTCCAAGGAATAAAGCATGGGGTTTTATTATTTAAAGACTTGTGCATTACTCATGAAATGATTAGATTCAGTAAATTTCCTTGAGTTTTTTTTAATGCTACAAGACAGCTTTCCCACATAACAACTGTCCAAACATATTCAAAGCATAGTTATTATTTGTTTAATAACAAATAAACTGAACTACACTATTCAGTGTTAGTTATGCTAAATCATTAAACCTATTAGATAGTCACCATTAAAATTGAAAAACAAAGTGATACTAAATTTTGGTTTAATGTCAGGTAAAAATATGTATTGTTATAATAGTAGCAGAAACCTGCAAAACATTTGTGGTCAAATTAGTATCTTTATTGCAACAGTACTTCTTTAAATACAGGATTTCTAGAATAATACAAAATAATTCTAATTGCAGACATTGAAATATACAAGTCCATTTGTCTTACGTCTAACATTAGTTAAACCTTTATTAAGTATGGCCTATATTTGATAAAGAGACAAATTAGTACTGTAACTAGTGTACATTTTTTGCTTTAGTTTAATTAGAGTTAAACCTTACCATACTTTATACTGTCAATACATAAACTTATAGTGTTATTCTACAATGTAACATTAGACTTTAAAAACTTCGAAAAGCATTTAATACATTGTACAAAATGTCTACTGAAGTGTATTTACATCTAGTGAAATGAACCATAGTAAGGTGCATATGCATTTTCAGGACAGACAAAAATGTGTATTATTATTATTATAAAATGTAATTGTACACAGGGAAAAGTATATATATATATATATATTACATTTTCAAGCAGATCTTTTTCTACTCTTAAGAGTGCTTTATCTTGTAAAATCACAAACCAGTTTTTCTTATGAGAACTTTCCAAGCATCTTTGTTTCAAGTGTTGATATTTCATATTTTCATGTTGCATTTTACATCTTCCCAAAAGTGTGTTTTCTGCTATGTTTTTCATGTAGCATAAACACTCCTCTTTATCTACATCATCTTATAGTGTGGCATTTTTGTGTTGGTATAAAATAGTTATGTTTAAAATGAAAATTTTCAATATGTATTTATACTCAGAATCAATAACGTTTTACCACAATATCTTTCCATGCATCATTTCTCTTGTTCTAATTAAGTCATAGTTTTTCACATCCTCCCATAAGCCAGTACTTTAGAACATTATTTCTCCAAGAAAGTCATGCTTCTTCACATACTATTATTTTTGTTTATGTAACTCATAAGAAGTTTTTTTTTTACATAGATTTTATCCTGTAGCATTAATTTTTTAACACAAGTTCCTCAAACAGTTAATATCTTACAATCTTAACAAGCAGTTTTTTTTTTATCCTATACTAACTTTCTACATAGCATTGTTTTTAAAATAGCTTAAAAATCACTAAAATACTGTATATTAAAAATATTATGCCCAATGAATGTCATTTGAATGAAATGATGTCCTTTCTCTTCAATTAGCTATAACTAACTTTTTACTTTTGAATTTTAGAAAACCATAAACTGCAGTTGTTTGATACGAGTGTTAACTGTTTTTGTCCTAATTTAGTGACAAAAAAAAAAAACATTTTCCCAACGTACATGTTCAAATTCCTTTTTTTCCCTACATTATCCATTATGTAGATCTGTTTTTCTATTCAAACTCTCCAAGTAATCCTATTTTTACATTTATTTTCTAGGTGGCATTTTTTCTTACTTAATTACCAAAGCAGCTGTGTTTAATTATTTTACTTACCGTAGAAGCCAAAAGAGCTGATGGCCAATATGTTGGTTTTTCAAAGCTCTACGCAGGAGAAACTTTACTAGGTCACAATACAAGTAGGACTCATGCTTGAGAGCTTGAACAAGTTGGAGGAGGTACAATGAAAGATTTTCATCACTAATTTGATGAAAAGCAAAAGTTTTGTTAACTCAAGTTTTATAAAAATTGTTTTAAAGAAGATTTACAAGAAATTTTATGCAAATCTCTTTAACAGTGTATGTCAAAGCCCTAGTGCTTCATTACTATATTTAAAATCACTATGAAGTGTACAAAATTTTTAGTACTACTACAACAAAACACAGGAAATATTACTTAAGTCAGCTTCTAACATTTGACCACATGAATAATTTTTACATATTCTAATTTAACAAGTAGTTCTGGGTTTAAGCCCCACCACTTTATGAAATATAATAATGCTTACTTTCTAAATATTTTTTAAAAATCTTAACACAACAAGTGGTTCTGTAATCCTACACTACCTTTCCACATAAGTTTTTATAATAGCTTAAAATTTATTAAAATGCTGTATGTGAGGAAAGATTTGTTAACATTTTGTCCCGATAACCCTCATAAGGGCTAGTGAAGATTATTTGAATGAAATGTTGACCATCCTCTTTAATCCATTAGAAATAACTTTTTGTCTTCAAATTTTAGAATAATATAATTTTTTAACAAGTAAGTAAAATTTTATTGAAGTTCTGTAAATAACTTAGTTTTTTTCACAAATAATTCATTCAAACCAAATAAATTCATGTCATACCTAATTTGTTCCAGACACTTGACTGCAAAATTTCTGACATTTTGATCAGCATAAGCATAATCTAGTAATTCTAATGCTTCTTCTGGTGGAAGAAGTTGCCATCCCTGCAACAGTGCAGTTACCTATTGGCAAATGGATATTTTAAGTAAGAGAAAAATCAATAATGTAAAGATAAAGATGAGATATTAACAACTGTTGACTGACAGGTCTAAATACAACACTAATGAATAACTTTATGTTCTTATATGTGTGTGTGCAAGACACACACATATACTTCTTTATACATATATATTGCTATATATTTATACCACCTTTAAACACTATCAAGTACTCTAGTTTATAACATACTGCTTCTGGTTCCTGTATGATTTACTGCGGTGCAATGCTGTATTGTTGTGGATAGGCTATTATTGGATCATCCACATGGGATCAGAATGCTTGGTCATTTTCCTTGTTCTATCCAAAGTGCATCTCGACCTTTGTAAGTGCAGAAGATGGTGTATCCACCTTCAATGAGTTGGTCACAAATTGCTGGTAATACAATGCGAAAAAAAGAAGAAATTGTAGACTTCTTGCTTGATAACAATCTCTCACTATGGCTATTTTAGCCAGGTCCATCAAGACCCCATATCTCCCTACAATGTGACTAAGATACTCCATTTCTATATGCATGAGTGAAAACTTTCCTGGTTTCAGTTTCAAGCCTGCTTTATTTATCCACTAGAATACCATTCTCAAGTTATCATCTGCAGACTAAACACCAAAACATAGTTCTTTCAGTGTAAATTACATTAGCCTCTCAAAAGTGGCAGGCCAATTACACAGGCTGAATGGCCCGATGACATCCAAATGGTGTAACCATTGGCACCAGTTGCAGCATGTACCCCATACACAGATCTGGATAGCCTGTTCATTAAAAACCAGTGTGGTTGCACTACAATGCCAGGATGTGTGGGTGACTGGTTAATCTTTAGTACAGATCTAACTCAGTGCAGTGAAGATATCCAACAAGGTTGGTCCATTCAAGGTACTTACCCGTTATGATGGGCTTTTCTTCTATTACTGGCCCAAAGTTACTACTTTGTACTGGGTCATACCAGAAACTGCCTCTGCCAAAGTGAGGATACCCCTCATCAAGTATGTCCTCTCAATCTGCTGATGTCATTGCAGGGTAAGCCTTATCATACAATTAGTGCAGAAAATCTTTGTAAGTGGCCAGACTCTCAGTCTTCTTCTGAGTTTGAACTTGGCCTGATGGATCACTAATTCTCAACAGGGTCAAATTAGCAGCTCAACTTGTAAATGACTGTACTGTACCCTAGATATAGTTACTACTACGGCAGACACATCTAACAGCCTACCAGAAGTAAAACACTATCAGCAGTCCAAAAAACCATCCAATCTTAAATATATCTACTATTACAACAGACAACTCTCAGCCTACCAAAAATAAAATAAAGTCAGCAGTTCAGAAAGCCATGAAATTTAAAGATCAATATAACAGTACCTGAAACTGCCCTAATGAATATGTTTTACCATCAAGTTCCCACCACTAGTTGAAGATGGCCACTACACGAAAATCAGTACTAGCCTACACTAACACAGAGAAACAGATTAACCAAAACCTCAAGAAACATGAGAAACAATTAATGAGCAAGGCATACCCTCTCCGGCCCATAAGTAAGAACTCACTCCTCCTTGTTGAGATTATAAAAGCAACCCTTATGGTCTCTGACAATAGAATGATCAAACAGCCTATTCACTAACATACCACATCTTGAACCACTATATATACTCCATGAAACAGCTTGAAAACAATAGAACTTACAACTTTCTCTGTCAAAGCAGCCTAATTCCATGTTACGGTAAACAGTAAACACTACTAACAACAAGGCCATGGTTTACCCCTATAACCAGTACCCAGTAATCTGTTCGTGAAACAAAAAAGCTGTGATTAGTGGAGGTCATTCGCCAGGAGTACTTCTAGTGATTCTTGGCTGATTGTTGATGGTCTGGACAAGAACTGAGACTGTGGTACTCTGGTTGGTCATAGCCTGTGAGTTTGGTAGAGACTTTTCCAAACACGTTGAAGACCCTTAGTCATCCTCACTTCCCGTGCAACAAGATTGATACTCAGGCACAAGTTTGATCTACTGGTCTGGGTGTTTCAAATATTGGTTTATATTCCCGAGTCTTCAGCTGTAGGCTGATCAATATCAGAGGCCTTTGCAATATTGGACAAAAGTTCCATATCCAGAAAAGAACTTCTCCTGAACTCAACACTTCTCTTTTTGATAACAAACTTTCCCTTTTGGTTATAATACTTTTACTGCAGAAAATGATATTCTTTCAGTAACAAGCATTCTTTTAAACTTGTGTAACTCAAGAGTTCCAACAAAGGTCAATATTCATGTGAGCAAAGACAGAAGTCTGTAATAAAAACTGTGATTACAGCACAAACATATCCCTTTCCTCTCTACTTGTAGTATTCTCAGGTAAACTTATTTCCATGCAAGTATCAAATAGGTCAATTTAATAACAGGAGGATCAAGCATGAAATTTGTAAAGTGATCTGTACTTGACTAAATGACTGAGTTTTAAGCTGCGTGAAACTGGACACATCATGTAAAGTGTAAACAATCTTTATTAAAAGACAAGGCAAAATCATGGTGTGCATACTCATGTAGACATTTAGAAAATAGGCTACTACAGGATCAGTGAATAGATCAATCAGCAGCTTTCTTCCCTCCAGATGAATATTTGAATAACTATCTATATTGAAAACCAAACAAAACTCTCAATGAAACCAGACTCCTTATGGAAGTACTAAACCTCAGTTCTCTTAAGCATTACCACACGATTGATTGTTCTCATATAACACAAAAATGCTGTAGCCTCTAGATATCATCTACTCAGCCAGCAGTATTATCATCATCACTTTGTAATTGTGAATACACATTCAAACAACAGTAAAGTGAATCAATGAAAACAACATACAGTTAAAAATATATATTTATATACCTTAGTATATACCTTATTACAGAAGAAATCAGCTGTACTCTTTGATAATAATACAAAACTAACCTGAGCAACGTCATGTCGATCATTCCACTTTAAACAGCACAGAAGTTTGGGTAAAGAGTTGGGGAATTTATGTAAACAGTCCTGTCGTAAAAACCAGAGAAGGTCTTTGTCCTGTTCATGCATCTGGTGAAGGGGATCCCGAGAACAAACTTCAGACAGATGCTTGAGGTAGGGCTTGCTGGCATGAGGCTATAAGATTTTTAAAAAATATTCATTTTATCCTATATTAAAATTACAAAATTAGTATTTTTAAAAATTTGAGAACTAAAACTTTTAGTTTACTAGTGAAAGGTCACATGCTTTTGTACTAGAAAAGATATATCTGTTGAGAAGCAAGCTTAGATGAATCAAATGATCAGCACTAAATATTAACTTTAATTAATTATTATTGCAATCACTTTTCAATTTTGAACAGTCATTGTTAGTTCATAATCTAAGCCTAACTGAGAAAATTTTGACAATGAACTGAAAAATTTGTAGAACTCGCTACATGTCATTGTTTAGTAAGTATACTAGACTCAGTTAAGAAGCTAAGTCATGTTGAAAAAGATGATCAGTTTTTAACACCCAGGGAAAAGAGGAACTTCAACTCCTCATTGCTTTAAATTTATAAACTGTTCGTAAACAATATTATAAACGTTTGTACTGTTTCTTTTTTCTTTTATTAAACAATTATGAAGTTTTATTTTTGTAAAATGTCTTGTTTTGTCCACTTTAAATAGGCTTAATAGAAATTACATATTTTACAATATTCCAGAAATATAGTAAAATAATATATATTAATTTAAAATGCTTGTGCAAGTACATAATAAACAAGCGAACACTGGCAAATACTATGCATATATATTTTGCATGTGAAGTGAAATATTTACCAAGATTCTACAACTAAAGTTAATTACTCTTGTCTTAATAATAAAGCATTAAATATACTTTGTTAAATGTGACCAGGTTTTTGGTAAACAGTTATAAAATTGCTGGAGTTTAAGTCAGTGTTGCAAACTAAATTTCTTTCTAAAACATTAATTTTGTACTTTAAGAATAGTTATTAAGACCTTTGTTCAGGTCAATTGTGTGGGTGTGTGTATCTGTGCGTGTAACCATATTCAATACTTAAAGTAGCAAGACTTTCGTATTTAACACAAAATCTGCCAACACAAAAATTCCCAAGTGTATTAAAATTATAATATAACCGAACATTTTAAAAGCAACTTGTATACGTACAGTTCCATCAGTGTCTTGATACAGATCTAAACTGGCATGTTCTAGAACCTGGAAGCACAATAATTATATGTGAAAGTTTACACGTTGAAAAAATGCTTTATGCAAAACTACCTTTATAACAGATCATGAAAATGTTAAGATCTATATTAAATATATATTTACTTCTGAATCAATTAACTAATATCATTTTGACATTTTATGTTTTACTTTACCGTGCGTGTGTGTGTGATTTCAAATCATTTAACTACACAAAAAATAATCAAGTTTCAATCTCCTTTCTCATTATGTTCCATTCTGATATAATTTTTAAAAGTCGTTATATATGATGTCAACATTTTTAGTGTGGACAATACCTCCAGTTTTTTGATGCAATTCAATTGTCAAACAATTGTTATAAACATTAAATACATATTTTTAAACAGAGAATTAACAAATAGTATTTTCATTATCTAAGAAACAAAAACTAAGTGTGAAAATACCTTCTACATGGTCTTTTCTCTTTTAGATAAATATAAATAAATAGAAAAGGAAGGACACTCAAAGTAAAGCAAACATTTATGCACCCTTAAAATGTGTAAACCTGCTAATTATAATGAATTTTCTAAGGTTTATTTCATCAAAGTGAAAGGTTTTGGCTTTTACAGCAGTTGTCTTCAGATATAATAGAGAAGGTTTGTTTGTTTGATTTGAATTTTGTGCAAAGCTACACGAGGGCTATCTGCGTTAGCCGTCCCTAATTTAGCAGTGTAAGGCTAGAGGGAAGGCAGCTAGTCATCACCACCCACCGCCAACTCTTTTACCAACGAATAGTGGGATTGACCGTCACATTATAATGTCCCCAAGGCTGAAAGGGCGAGCATGTTTGCTGTGACGGGGATTCAAACCCGCGACCACAAGATTGCGAGTTGAGCGCCCTAACCACCTGGCCATAATAGAGAAGGAATCAAAATGTAATGTTCACACAAATTAATTTAACATAGTTTTTTTTTCTATGCTGAATTTGTATTCACCAGCAAAAACAATTTTATTGCAGCTGTACTTTTCTGGAAGTAAACATTTGAATATATTTGTTGTGGTTTTATTTATGCATTCCCTTACACAAATAAATATTACTTTTTTTTTACATTTAACTAATAGTTAGAATCAATTCTGGATAGCTATGCCTTCAAATTTCAGAATTCAAATTAAGTATGCAATGTACTCTGCTTTCAGGTGCATGAAGCATAAAAAAATTGTACTGAATTTTACAACTCAAAATCTGCTTCTTAAGGATTAAAATATGTTATTTTGCTAAAGGTACTAGCTTGAAGCTATTACCTGACATGTTAACTCTTTCATTAAGATAACATGGAAAGGGGTGCTTTTTTTCTTTTTTCATGAAGTGGTAATGTCCTTGAAAACTAACTTCTGAATGCTATGGATTTATCAGAAATAAGATAAAAAAATGATATTTGTTAACTTGTCTCATGCCTTATTAATACAGAAAATAGCAGAAGAAATACTAGGAATGAGTGTTTTTAAGTAAACAAAGATTTATTGCTATCAAATCATTGAGGGTATGAGCTGAGTTCTGAAATGTTTTGGATAAAAGAACCTTATAAAAAATTAGAATGGTATTGATACCAACCTTTTCTAAAGAAGGGTAAGAAACCGAATGTTGTGGATGATATTTCTGAAAGGTGAGAGTGAGTTCAGTGGTATTTTCTAAGTTAGGATTCGTCACCACAGTTCCCAAGTGGTTAAACAGATCCTCTGCCTGAAGTTCATGAGAATACCACCACATGTGTAGCGTTACTGTTCCTGCTTTTAGGATGTTCTTAAAGTCGTACACAGTTGTGTTGACCCAAGCTATTGGATTGACATAAAGATCCTACAGAATGAAAAACAAGCAATATAAATTTAGTCATCTGTGGGTTTTTTTTTTTAAATCTTATAAAATGTATTTATTTCTCTTATGTTGGAATCTTTAAAAATAAATATACTAGTAAACAAATTGGACTGAAAGATAGGATTAATCAAAGCAGGCATTTAATTTTTTTTAACAAAATAGGGAGACATTTTGCATGCATCATTATACATGGTATGTTACGTATATTACAACAAAGGATATTTTTTTATAAAAAAAAATCTATGTTAACAAGAACATTACATTTGTATACCTATGGCTACATTAAAATTAGCACAAATAACACTTTAATTGAAAGAGAGAGAATAAAATAAAAAAAGATGTGCTTTGATAAAATAGAACAGAGGTTGTACTTTATGTAAAACACTGAGCTGAAACTTTGAAACTACAAAATTGATCAACTTCACAATGCAGGATTGTGATTTCAAATTTGAAAAAAAATATGCCAAGTAATTCTGTAAATCACAAAGAAGAAGAAAACTTAGATCCAATGCATTTGCTTAAGACGAGAGTGAATCTTAGCAAGTACGATTACAATATTCAAAATCAATTGTCAGAAGAGAAATTCTGAAAAGAAAAAATAACTAGTTGTATGCAATAGAAATTCAACTGCTTTAGTATCTCAAATAATTCATCAGTGAAAATGAAAAAAAACATTTATAGAATGTGATTTAAAATTTTGGAATAATGGCTAACAACATAACTGAGGAATTTCGCTCAGGTCATTTTGGTATGTATTGATGCAGAAACATGGATACAATTTGACACAAATGAACACACTTTATACTTTTATTTTAATAGTGCATCACTCAATTAAATAAATGAAGTCTATGGTTTATTTCTGTCACTATCAATGACACAATAAAAAAGTTTACAAGATGAACTTGGAGATTAATTTGTTAATAAACAATGTATTTTGTTTACAACAGAAACTTCCACCATGTGTTTTGAGTTGCTATGCGTTTCCTTGTTTTGATGTAATAGTTTTAATCAAAATTTAAACAAGAGGTAATCCCCAATAGCCGTGGCACTTGAAATTCTTTAGGCAGGATTAGAGTAAACTAATCTACGAGACCTTTTCTTCCTTTTTATTAGCTGTATTTTTGTTTGCCAGCAATACCAAGCATGGGACATGCATATACCTGATTTGATTTTATTACACATCAGGATAAGAGTAAATTAATCTACGAGACCTTGGGTACAGTCAAATACATCAATCAAAAGGGTTTGACCTACTGAGTCCAAAACTGTAATTATATTTCATATCAGTCAAGAGATGACAGAGCTACAAGCTAAAAGTTTGTACTTGGAAAAATTCAACCATTCTATGAGCCATTATGCCATGGCTAAAAATGATGCTTTAACCAGTTTCCTACCTTTTTTGTAATTGCAAAATGATTAATAATATATAAATGATATCAATGTTCTTCCCGCTAAAAATATTTTAAAATAAATTTAGAATTTTTTGATGTACTTACAGGACCAATGCTACGATATTTGCGATTCTTATTTCCTTTAGCAGTATGAGCCACTTCATAGACAACCAGACACAGACGTGTCATACGAGGAATGTTGCACACTTCTAAGTCAAATTTCAATTGCTTGTTTGACTCCCACTTAGCTTCACCACCAGTAACGATGACTTCAGAAGTTTTTTGTAACTCACAAAGTAGATCTCCACCATGAAACAAACCTGCCTGGACTGTCACCTGTCAAGATTTTAAACTGTGGTACTCAACAGCTATAATTTAAATGTTACACATATTAGCCTTTCCTTGTACTCATACTATAAAAGTTGCATCATAAGTTTATGCAAATACATTTCATAAAGCCACATAATCTAGTTTGGTTTAACCAACAAAGAAACTAAACTGTATACATAAACTTGACTGTCTTCTTCTTCTTCTGTACCTTTTCCCGTATCTATAC